ATGTTTTCCAATATTTGTAAAATCAGTACACCTTGCTTACATTCCATGAGTCATTCTTTATTTCTGAAATGATTTGCCTTTAGTTCCTTGCTACAAGCGATGCAAGGAAATGGAACACCAAGAGGAAAATGAAGCAATTGTTGAACCAGACGAAGACGGAGGCTGGGTAGACACCCACCATCACCTCGATCCAAGTGGGGAGCAAGCTGTCACTGGTACTCAGGAGTCGTTTGCAGAGATGACACTTGAATCTGACAAGGCAAGTGTTAATTTATGAAGGAAGTTACTTTCTAAAGAAACTTTGGTGCTACTACATTGTTGGGAGGTATAACATGATAACTTGGTTTTCTCAGTTGGGTTGATGTTGAATAAAATAAGCAATAAATTGGTCACTGTAGGTTTTCTAAAGCTGCCTTTTCAAGCATTAGCCCTTTGTTGGAGAAAAGGGCTAACGGTTTGCAACAAGTTAATGAAGGGCTTAGTGTTTGCTCTGACAAATGGCTGCCTCTTGAAGCATCAGCTCTAGCAACTCTATGTGGCCAATGTTCATTATCAACTCAGTTGATAAAACCAATAAAATTATATGCTAATCAGTTTGTGCTGATGGCATGCTAAGGGTGCACTCACAGGAGTGATGAGAAACCATGACCCATTAAAAGCAGTAACAACAGCAAATTGTCTTTTAGGGCACAAAAGATGTAACACCAGTAGATAATGATGATGATGAAGAAGATGATGATGAGGAGGCAGTGGATATGGAAGGTAAGTGTAATTGTACTGATCTTTTTTTTTCAGACTTGCAACATTATGAAACTACAGATGGTACCAGTTAACCCTTTAAATCCTAGAAATGATGAACATGAAACTTCTCCCCATAATATCCATACATTATTCAGCAAACAGGTAATGAAAATATTTGAACTTATCAGGTAGAAGCTGCTATCTTCATCTAGCACCAAGTTCTTATAACTAATTGACAAAGAAATGTGTAGCAGCCACAGGGGAGAATTAGCAATCAGATTTTGGGAGTTAAAGGGTTATTAAAAAGATATTAAGTGCATTGACAGAACTGAAAATAATTTAATTCTGTCCAGTTCATAGTTACATCACCTTTTCAATTTATACTTTGAAAATGATACACTACTAGTCAGTTTCATTACATCTACTATGCAGTACTACTTGTAATACTGCTTCACCAGCAATGATACAAATGCTTTATTCCCCATTTCCTTTTTTTCATGCAGACCTCAATTTTGCAAATGTTAAATACCTGTCACTTCACTGCTGTTACTGTACGTTTCATCACTGAAAAATGTTTCTGTTTCAAATTTTTAGCTTTTGAAGAAAGTGGAATGCTTGAAAGTGATGAGGTACAGTATATTCCATGGCAAAAAAAGTGCAAATGATGAACATTCATGATGAGTAGCAATATATGTCAGTTGTAGTTAATCACCCCATGCTTCAGAAACAAGGACATGATCCAGTAATAAAGCAAGTCACCAGGCCTGTTGCTTTTTCCAAAAACTTTACCTTGTCTTTTTGCAGGCTACCTTGTCAATTAAACCAACTTCTAAGGCTGAGTCAGGGGCGGAGGGAGCCACAGATGCAAATGCCTCTGGTGGAATTCTACAAACAAGAACTTACGACATGTACATTACATATGACAAATATTATCAGACGCCACGACTGTGGCTGTTTGGTTACAATGAGGTAAGAGTTTGTTGAATCTCATTACATTGAGAGTGACTGAAATCCCAGAATTGCAGGCAGATCTGAAAAGAAATAAAACATTCTTCTGTACTCTTTTGTCATGAGAGCCAAGACTTTGGTATCTGTATCTACTGTGCCTCTCCATTATGACATGGGTCAGTGTAAAACTTCATGCTACAGGGTGCCAAGATTTCTGATGTACATATTCATTTAGAACTAACCATATGAATTTTAATGCTACATGTATAAAGGTTTTGCCTTTCAACTGACCTGGAAAAAAACAGAATACTATATATTTTGTAGGGATTAGCTCAAATTGTTAACAAAAAGGGTCACTGCATATCAATTTTTCCAGTTTTTTAAAGGTCTGGTACAGGTATTGGGAGTATAATGCGACCAGCCAGTCCATAATTTTTGGAATGAGCACTATTGAGACAATCATGTAGCTTTTTGGATGTTTTATTTTACAGAACCGAGAACCCCTTGCAGTAGAAGAGATGTATGAGGATATGAGTCAGGTAAAGTTTTAGCAGTTTTCAGAGTAGAGTTTTGTTGGTTGATTTTTGCATCATGAACATAATGTGTGCTCTGAATTGTAGGACCATGCAAAAAAAACAGTGACATTGGAGGCTCATCCTCATTTGCCAATGACCATGGCATCTGTTCATCCTTGTAGGTGAGTTGCTACAACTGTCTTCTTACACCTAATCCTTACCTTGATTCTCCCAAATACTTTGCACTTTCTCTATATCAATTTTTTGCTCATCTCTTTCTGCTGTACACACAATCTGATAAAAATCTGAATTTTAAGGATGGGATACCCTGAAAATGGATACTTGGTATCAACTGCTGTCAACTTCAGTCTCCTTTGCATTTTCACTTTCGTTCACTAACATAACGTTCTTCCTAAAACTTATTAAGTTATAGAATGTATATAATGAGGTGAAGATAGTTAATGGTCACTCCTAAAAACGGCAGGCAGACACCTATCCAAAATGGACACTAATACCTAAGTGCACGTGCTGAATTTTGGAGAAAGGTCTCTTACAATCAGAAATTTCTGCCTTGAGAGACCTACTTTAAGTTTGTTAATACTTCAAAGAACAAAGCACAATGATCCTTTAGTAGATCATGTGTAAACCACTTAATCTAGAGTCCAGTTTGAAAATTGCTGAATTAAAAATACATCGCCGCGATATTTTAGTTCACTGAGCCAAAAAAAAAAAAGGACACTGCTGGTTGGTGCAAATCCGTAGTCACGGGTCTTTTTTCAACTCATTAGACATGCTGACGTAATGAAGAAGATCATACAGACAGTCGCTGATGGCGGAGGAGAGCTTGGAGTTCATATGTATCCTTTGAATGTCATGATAATGCGCGTGATTCCGTGGAATTAAAGCGTTATTACGCGTTTCTTAGTACGTGATCACACAAGATGGTATGATCCAAACCAAGCTCATACATGTTCTAAACTAGGCAAAATAGCACACAGAAGCAAAGAGATGGACTTGATGGATGTCACTTTTTTATTTTGTGGCTGTTACCTTTGTAGTGGTGAGAGAGACATAAGTTTATGACCAATCATCTAGCATTATTCATGTAACGTGACTTTCTTAGACCAATCCGAGATTAGAACAATCATATTTGAAACTGAGCTGAAATTTCCCAAGTGAACAGAAGGTGATAGAGACGTGAGACAGGTCTAAACACAGGGAAAGGTGATTTTTCGTCTTGTCACGAGCGTGGGACAAAGAAAAACTCTTAGTCCCAGTGAGGAATCGAACCTCAGACCTTCGCATTCCGCGCACCGATGCTCTACCACTGAGCCACAGAGACATGTTTTGCAAATTGAAAACGTCTGTGATCTGTTCAAAGAAGAAAAATTCGTCCTGCGAACTGAATCAGCCTTGTCTTTGGAATGAGTTGAAGACACGAGAAGAAGCCCAATTTAGATTTTATGTTTTCCTTGACTTTTTTCCCCAGGTATCTACTCATCTTTCTCAAATTTGTCCAGGCTGTGATACCCACAATAGAGTACGACTATACGAGACACTTCACCATGTGATCTTGAACCAAATCAACTGAATTGAACCCTTTAACCCTTTAAACCCTAAGAGAGATCAGCATCTATTTTCTCCTAACAATAATACAGCTGAATCGTTCATTAAGATCATGAGAAAAAATAAAATGCTCACCAACTAAAGAAATTTTGATTGTTAAACAAATTCTCCTTGTCAGTACCAAACGAAATGCACAGAGAAGAGTTGGAAGAATATAAATACTGATGTTAGGGTGTAAAGGGTTAAACTCCTGTGAGTAACCAAGACAAAATTACTCTTTAGATGACACTGAAGAAAAATATCAATCAGGGGATCATTAGTTGATTTCATACCAAATTCTCCAAACTAACATCATAAGAACTGTTTGGCAGACAGTAAGGAGAATTATTAATGAAGTATTGAGAATGAAAGGGTTAAGATTCTTGAAGTAGAGCATATTTTCAATAGCTGTGGTAGAGGTTTCGTGGCAGTAAAGAAATAATTATGAAATATTGCCTCGTTTACAAAAATTCATTTTACTATTGATTCCTCTTAATGTGCGTTTTGCTTTCCACTTTAGGAAAGATTACACGAAAGTATTTTATAAAGCAAAAAGTAAAATAGTGTACTTGTTACAAGAACTTCAACTCCTGAAGGTTACAAGCTAATGTTCGTAAATTAGTATGAACAAAATCTGTTTGAGCAGTGAAACATGAATAAGCCTCCTTTGAATAGTTGCATGCAGGAATAGGTCCTATTTAAAAACTGAGATATAATCAGACACACAGGTTCCGAAGAAAGTCACATATTTTGAAATAAAAGTTATAGAAATATTACAGTTGTTGTCTTGTGTTCTAACTTCGTTTGTTATATATATAATTTATGCAAGATCATAGGAAAATAATGTGAATTGAAGTATCTTAAATTAGAATATCTCTCAGTGACTGGTCAATTTTGCGGGCTGTATTTCACTGTGCAGCCCATTAAATATAAAAGAATTTTTTGAATTAACTCTTCCCCCTCTATTTGAACCCAGAGATATAAAAAAATATATGTCTTCCTTCGTTTTCTCGATTCGTAATTTAAGTTACGGAACCTGTTTTCTTTTTTTCCAGCAGAAAAAATTCAGTCCGTAAGTTAATTACAATCGTGAAAACGGACCTCGAACTCGGTTAGTAAAACTGATATTGATAAAGATGGTAATTAAAATAGTAATAGAGATGGTTAACTGGAGGGCTATTCTTTCTTCTAACGCCAAGTAAAGAATCCAATATTTCCCAGTTCGTCCCTTAATTGTGCTTCTTGGCTCTCACTCAGAGAGAGGGGTGAACGAGCAGGTCCTAGGTCTAAGCCAAGGAATCTCATTATGGCTTTGCCGACGCCAGCATGGCCTCCTGGGAACGTAAACAGACACGATTAACATTTACTTACAACCACATTACGTGAAGAAAGTATTTCTCTTGGCTACTTAACCCTTTCACCCCCTACGAGTCCCTGGTATCTAATTTCTCCTCACAACATCACCCCTAAATCACATATCGAGGTCAGGAGAATAATGGAAATGATCACCAACAAAAGAAGCTCTCGATTGTTCATCAAACTTCCTTATCAGCAGCTTTGGAAATATATTAAAGTTCACACGGCAACCAGGTGGACAATCAGACATAGTTTGAAGCTACACTGGTTTGCAGATTTAATGAATGTAACCGAAGAAGTTACAATTCATAGACCCAACGTTTCGACACTCCTGTCTAGTGCCTTCATCAGGGGTGATCTAAACGCTGCAACAAGAGGTCCTTTTATATGATCACTAATTAGCGGCCTTTTTTCTGACGAGGTGTAAATAGGCGTCAGCCTTACAGTGTAGCTTCAAACTATGCCAGCTTTGGAAATGTTTAGAGAACAATAATGAGAATATGCATACTGAAATTAGAGTGTAAATGGTTGAGAGGAAACACTTACCGTACTTACAGTATAACTTCACCATTGCTTGAGACCGATACTAGACGTAAAAAGGTAAAAAAGATCAGTCTCCAGGTATTATTGTTGGAGGGGGTAGATCCGTTGACATACATATTTTTAGACCTAAAACCCAACTAAACTAAGAAATATTTCAACATGCAACATGCAATCCTGTCGTGGCAAGAATTTTGGATACTGGGACGTCCTCAATATCCACACCGATGTACAATCGCTATTTTCCATTCCACGTTTCCAGCCAATTCAAGGATGACCTTGTTTTTTTATACTTTTAACCTTGTTTTTTTATACTTTTAAGTCAATCTAATGGTGATTAGTAAGTAACTTCTACATACAGTGTAGTAATTTTCAATTGCGATTCGAACGTTGCCGGGATTGTACTAGTTTTACTTTACTTCGCACTGAGCTCCCACTGCTCTCCCAACTAATCAGATCAGTGTTAGACTAAAATCAACTGCGACTTGGTAAACTGCAAAAAGCGCGGGAAAACGCGAGCGAAAACGCGCTTGATTTAAGTTCGAGTTCCCATTGGCTCCTTGAAATATTATTCTTTGCTGTGATTGGCTGTTGAGATAGCTTACTCTTACGACAACCTATCAACAAGCCATCTATCAGGCAAGCAAGTAACGAATTCGCTCTGACAAAGGGCTGACGCTCTAAACGTTAGCTTTAAAACTTTTAACGGTGGCCAATTTATGTTATAAACTCAATTGATAATACCAAATTACCCTGTTATACTATCCCGCCGACGCAGCCCCACAGTTTCTTTAGAAATTTACCCTCTTTATCAAGCAAGCAGCTGGGAGAATTACTTATCAGATTTAAGGGGTTTTGGATTAAACGCTGGCTCAACAAGGTCGGAAAGTTGTAGTCGAGTCTCGAAATCTACATGGAAATACGGGAACGATATGAAGAGAACCGACCTGCTCCGATCTCGCTGTTTCCATATCGCCTTTGTCAAAAGCATCCATGATCCGAAAGTGGAGCTTGCCGGCAAAGTTATACGTTCTAATGCAAAATAAGAAATTACACGACGTTTGTGAACAAATTTGTACACCAAATTCCTCAAGATTTTCATGAGTCTCCCAGAATTGTATTTTTTTGGTCGTAGACCAGAAAAATGTCTCCTCCAAGAGTAATTTCCGTTGCACTCCATTTTTCCTTCGGTAATGCCTTGTTAGTTTGCTGTTAGTTATACCCTAGTTCCTGATTTCCTTGCAGTTAGGTTTACTCTGGATTGCTCGCAATTAACCTGCAGACCACTTTCTTGAAAGACAAATAATTTATAGTTAAGTTCACATGGCAACCAGGTGGACAATCAGACATGGCTTGATGTTACTCTGGTTTAAAGATTTAATGAATGCAACCGAGAAGTTACAATTCATAGACCCAATGAATTGTAACTGCTCGGTTGCATTCATTAAATCTTTAAATTAGAGTAACATCAAACCATGTCTGAGAGAAAAAAATTGTCCTTCATTTTCAACCAAATACTTATTACGCGAAAGATAAACGAAGGAAAGAGATTTTATAAACGTTTCCTTACCCTCCAACGGAAGCACAAGCTCCCATGGCTAAGGCACTTATAAGAATCTAGAAATAAAAAATCAAATATGACCATAACTTAGTTCAGGAGCTTTACCCTTCAACTCCTAACTGTGACTGGCTTCTAAATCTGCCTTTAACCCTTTAACTCCCAAGATCTCACTAGTAATTCTCCATACTGTCTGCCATACAGTTCTTGTGATGTTAGTTTGGAGAATTTGGTATAGGATCAAACTTATGATCCTATAATTGATATTTTTCTTTATTCTCATTACTTGTCTGCTCGACATTGTATTTATATTGTCAGGAGAATGTCTGTCTCGGTCACTCATGGGAATTAAAGGGTTAGTCGAATGTAAAGGAAATGATCGTGAATTTTAGACGCTCCAGATTCTCCTTCTCAGTAACAAAGGAAATGTAAACAGGATCTGTATATTGATTTTAGGGAGTAAAGGGTTAAAAGACACTTTCTCTTTGAACAGGTCAACAGTTAAATCACCTCATCACCGCCAAACATAATCGAAAATCTTTGATCTTCGAGGATGAGACAGCGGCCCAGGTCAAACATATCACCACTTGTGAACTTCACACCCGCTAAGGTCGGAATCTTGGGAATGGCAGCTTTTAGAAAATCTTCCATCAGAACTATGACAATAAAATGAATTCAGTTTAGACGTTTGATTACTGATGGGTGACGTTCGTTCGTTCGTTTCGTCGTTCGTTCGTTTCGTCGTTCGTTCGTTTCGTCGTTCGTTCGTCTCGTCGTTCGTTCGTTCGTCTCGTCGTTCGTTCGTTTCGTCGCTCGTTCGTCTCGCCGTTCGCTTTCATGTTATCTCTAATACATACATGGAATATGAGTCCAAGCTGGTATATGATAATAAAATAGTGGTGTATTTGGTGCACAATCTGCTACAAGACGAACATACTCTACTAGATCATCTGAAAAAAGAACAGAATATTGCAGAATTATATTAATTTACTCTGCTGTATTTGTCATCACTGGCTTTAAAATTCAGAGTAACTGTTCTGTTCTTAAATCACCGTTCAAAAGACGCAAAAAACCAAAAGTATTGTAGTTCACGTGCCAAGGGCGTGGCCCTTGCTCGCCTCACTTATTGTTGGTACACTCCAGGGGCACTCACGTCACCTACCACTTGCGTTCAATTAACTACAGGCAGCACAAGCTAACACAATGAACCTTCGTACATGAAATAACATGTTCACGTTGCACAATAATTAAAACATAAGGATTTATTCTCCCCTCTTTGTTTGTTCCTTAAAAAAATCTTGTGACTTTTTTAGGCTGGTGAGCAGGCATTTAGTTCATTTTAAGCTCCCTGCAAATTCCCATACATAATTCAAAGAACAAAGACAGAAATGAGGTAAGTAACACTTTTAAGCCGATCAAGAGTTCAATCCAAAACGTATTAATGACTGATACAATTTTTCCCGTGCTGAGCTTTTTCTCCATTTTCGCGCCTTGCGTTGAAGAGATCTAGATAAACTGATTTAAACTTGGCTTGCAGAGAAATTGTAACAAGGAACACCACACTTCTCTAAATAAATTATGGAAGCTATAGATTTGGAAAATATTGATAGTGACGCGAAATATTTCAGGTAAAATTAGGACACGCACCTACAGACTTGGGAGTGAAGAAACTCGTGGCCATCAGAGCGATTGCTGTCGCTCTGTTGTTTTCAGAATGTCTCGCCTATAAAGAGATATACAAAAATCAATTCTAAGTCTTTATGAGTAAACCTAACATGTCCCAAGCAACAAATGCCGCCTACCAGTTCTTGTGAGTCTTTTAAGTTTGAGGTTCCAACATGTATTATTATGTGTTCAAATCTGGAAAGAAGGAATTGCCTCTGTTCACTGACAAATTGAAACTCAGTTATATTATTTATGCAGAGATGCAGCATGTGCTACAGATCAAATTTTAGATGATCTCCTCAGTCAGGGTTGGCAAGAGGGAGGGTTGCAAGGGAAGAGAAATGTTTTGAAGTGCCCACGAACCACTGACAGCCTGGAAAACAATGCTAAAATGTCCCTTGTCATGCTTATACTGATTTATAGATAGAATGGTATGTAATCATATGGAGCCTTTTAGCATATCTATAAGAGTGGAGCTCATATGCCAAGCTGTTATAATTGTTGATATTTTTTGATTAGTTATAAAATAGGTGGGTGAAGGAAACAGCAAGTGACTATACTACACGGAATGTGCATTGATGTTTTTTTTTTAATTCTAAGCTGCATTGAAATGTATTTAATTCTCTATTAAAACATCACTGATTCACCTGTCTTTTCCTACTTCAATCCACTTCTCAGCAAGTATCTTCCTCTCTTCCACTGTCAATAAAGTGCTTTCCCCAGTTGTCCCAGCAACTTAAGACAACAAAACAGACAGTTTGACAATTAACAATATCACTAAATAAATGCATGTTTGCTCAAATAAATGGTGAAATTGTATCTGTATCAATGAAAACGATTTATTAAATTATAAGTGCAAATCATTACCATACTCAATTCACAAGAGATGTAGTCTAAACAAAAGAGGGCTGTCTCAAACCCACCCCATAGATCATCCAAGCAAAACAGTCATCTTACCCTGCTTACCCTGGGAGAGGATGTGTTGATGATATGGTTCAAACATTTCAGATTTAACCCTTGACTCCCATGAATGACCAAGACAGAATTTCTCCTTACTATATCAATACAATATCAACCAGACATTAAGTGTTGAGAATAAAGAAAAGTATCAATTTGTGGATAATTAGTTGATCTAACACCAAATTCTCTGAACTTACATTATCACAATTTTATGGTTGACAGTAAGGTGAATTGCAAATTTGATTTGGCAGTTAAAGGGTTAAGGTCTTGCTTCATTCATAGGCAAGAATGACTCAAACTGAAACTGAAAAGTCAAGCGATCAAATGGGGCTCAGACTGAGAGGAGCTAGATGTGGATATTGAAAGGGGAGGCTCATTCAACCTAGCAGTGTGTAGAGTCTAGAATTTTTATCCTAAAAAATATGCAGTGATGATGATAGTTTGAGCAAGGACAAAAAGGTTTAAGTCTGCACTCAGGCCAACTGGCCCATCCAGATGGAGCTTAACCTGCTTTCTGTAGCATGAAGCATCTCAGGAATTTCATCAGGCTTTCCTAACAATTTTTCAGTACCCATTTATAATAACTGAGATAAACATATTTATACTGCTTCACCAATCAAAATGTACACATTGTCCCACATGGTCACACAACTTCAGATCAGCACAGAAGAAATTTGAAAAAATAATTTTGTCCCAGGAATTAAAACAACAACTTAACAATTTTAACTGTGACATCAAGATTGCAGAGAGGTGAAGATGCAATCAATGCATGTTCAATTTATCAGATTATCCCTGTGTTATCCTAGCTTACGATAATTGCTCATGATACTGGGTTTTCTTATTAAAACTAATACATACCAAATAAACCTTTTACATTCTCATTTTGTAAGTGCTGTGCATACACCTCTATCACACTTAAATTCAGCTCCCTGAATCCAATTAAATAAAATGGATAAATAGGTTAAATAAATAAATAATTAAAATAATTCAATCAAAATAGAAATGGAAGAAAAGTAAGCATCTCAAATTGGAAGAACCAAAACTAACATAACTGTGAGGTATTGGGCCAGTGGTTGTCTAACATGCATGCACATTGAAAGGCAGCCTGACTGTGAGAGCCTTCATGTTGTCATAAATGTGTTTGTTTTTATTGTTCTTTTAATATGGTTCAAACTGTCTTTTTTAAAACTATCATCAGTTCCTCAATATTCAGCAATAGCATAGCATATATCAGACACGATACCGACCACAAACTTGATCTCTAGACCATGAGGGTAGTGATGCTTTCAGCTGAAGACCCATCACTAAGAATTGTCTTTGTTGATTGTGTCCATGAAACAAAAGAGTACAAAATACTTACCCACCATCATCAAATGGTGTGAGTGTTGCTGCTATCAACCCTTTAATCTACAAGTTAGAGCAAAATACATCTATTTAATAACACTCTAAACACTGAATACAGTTCCACAATAAAAAAAAAAGTGCATCCTCCTTATGAGGATCAGGTAAGTTGTTGGAAGGATGGTGCAGCAGAAAGGGAGTATTAAATTACCAGCAGATAAAGAAAGTTGTAATGGTTAAGATAAGATAGGTAGGAATCACACTTATAGAAACAGAAATTGTGCCTGTGACAATAACCCCCCCCTCCCCCTACACACACACACACACACTGACCCTTCTCCACTATAGGCCTTTAATAAAATATCTTTAATAAAAATACTATCATAAAAATGTTGTGCAAGGGGTCATATTGAGGTGTTATAATTCACTTGGCCCCCTTTCTGGAACCCTTAAAAGTCAATAAGTCTTGTGGAGATTATTTGGGTATACACACTGCCAGTAATCAAAAATATCTACTTTAACACCTTTTGGATGGTAAAACAAGTCTTGCACACAATTTGGGTAGGGAAGGGAAGAGAAAATTCCACGTGGTAACACAACTCTATAAATACCAGCAAAAAATCCTTCTTAATAAGGAGAAAAAGTTAAAAAT